TTGATTTTATCATATGTACACCCTAACCCTAACCCTAATTTAACTAGGAAATTCCAAATCCACTTAAATTCCATTCCAACTTACAACATATATATAAATTCTGAATTCCGTTTCCACTTACAACATAAACACTAAGTGTAAACTAATAAAATTTCTAAACCTAAAATTACAAAAAATTTTATTAAGTAAACTATTTTTATGTTTTTAATAAAAGTTGTAGATTTTTATTAGTAAAATTATTTATATACGGTTTATATAGAGAGCCAATCAGATTGCACGATCAGATGCAAGCAACGTAAAATTATTGCTTAATCTAAGATATTGTCTATATCTCTTTGCAAATTTTGATATAGACTATAGCTCACTCCAATCCCAAATGCACCCTTATCCTAATCATAAGAAGGGGTTAATTTTTCATTTTATAAAAAGTTGTTTCTTTAGATATTAAAAAATCATACAGTATGAAGATCTTATGATATGAATCAATTAAAATTGGTAATTTTTGTAGCTTGAAAACTTTAGATTAAAATTTACGATTGTAAAAAGTTTTATTAGTATAAATATACGTATATAGCATATTTTTATTTTTTTTTATGTCGTACTACGTACTGAAATTACAGAATTATTTAACAAATAATCTACATACCCCCGTGTTAATTTTTTAGTTAAAATTTACTGTGCAGCAAATAAAGAAAACTTATGAGCCATTGTTTGCACTATTACTGTATTACAAATGGTAATTGTTTCTGTGCGCAAAATTTTGTTAAAATAATCACCGACATATCCCTACCCTTAATATATTATTACATGTTTTATTGTACTATGTTCGATTAATTTTTCAATTGTCAACTATTGCGATAGTTTGTTTTTCGTCACGTTACACCCGATCCTGCACCCAGATTAGTTGGTCAAAGTGGTCAAAGGGTAGCACTGGCGAAAAAAATAACCGACGCGTGACGACAGCCAATCAGTAAAATAAAACAATCGAATATAGCGTAATGTTTAAAATAAAAAAAACTTGCTTTTAGAGTTATGTTTAAAATTAGTGCAAAGTCGAATTTTGAGAGGAATAGAAATAAGGCAGATTGACATTTTAAAAAAAAATCAATACCCTAATTTTCATAGCTCATATCTTGATGAATTTTGAAGTTATCTTGATAATTTAATATTCAGAATAAAGCTTAGATCATAGGCTTTCTTTTGACTATTAAATCATTAAGATAGTCTCAAAATCCATCGAGATATGAGCTGTGAAAGTTAAGGCATTAATTTTTTTTAAAATGATTTCTATTGACGGCTGCCATATATTGTGTAACCCGAGTTCATATTCGGACCTCGGATCGGACCTGCGAAGCACTAATACAAGCCAATACAAGCTAACTAATATTATATCAAAATTCGTCAAAATTTGGTGATTTCGAGCATAATTAATTAAGTCCGGAAGCTCTGATTACACGAAATCTCAATTTTTTTTGGACTACTATTCATTTCATTGACATTTCATACACAGACAGCCAATTCATAGGCAAGTTAATCGATAGCCTATTTCAGTATTTCATAGATAATTTATTACACTGATAGCTCATTTCACATGCCAGTTTTTTCTTTTATAACTTGCATTAACCCTAAACATAATTCTGATCCTAATCCTCTAATAACAACTATAATTACTTTTGAGCTGTCGGTGAAATAAATGATTTATAAAACGCGCTGTTGGTGAAAATAAATTATCTATGAATTAAATTTGTCTATGAATAAATGAATTTATGTCTGAAATAAACAGTATGAAGTAATTGTATATTAAGTAAGCAGAGCCGTTTCTAGCTTTCGAATTATATTTTGGTATTTACATAAATTTTTTATTGGCCGTGTTCATATTTTTTATTTACATTTACTATTGCTATCCGATCATGTGATTAAGATTTATCAGCTCACGGTTTTAGGCCCGGCTTCAAGATTTTGAGCCGAGCCATCTTAGAACCGGTGCTTTTTAGCAGACTTGTAACTAAAGAATTGATGAAATTAACTTACCAGTATCCTTGTAACCAAACTGTTGAACTGCGGCTACAGTGACACGGGCTGATGAAAAATCATGGGCTGGGATCGATCCTAAAAAGCTCGGTCCGATCGACCGGGCTGACCCTTCTTGCTATGTAGTGCAGTTTTCTTGGTCAGAATCTGCCTTCACTTTATATCAAACGTGTGAAAAGCCATTAGGTAATTTCTTGCAAGTTAGTATGAATTGTCTACGTATACGTATACATCCGTTTCCTATTTTATTCGTTATTTGCCAATTTAACATCTAAATTAACCAACTATTGATGCTATAAATGACTAGCCGATTTTTGGTCAATTCTAGCCTGAAATATACTTCAGGAGGGAATTGCTTCTAACACTTCATTTATTGACCGGTCCGGCCCACGAAACTGCGGGGTGAAGGTCGCCCTGCTCATTATCACCCTCGTCACTTAAATACTAGTAATATATTCTATCGCTACATAAAGTTCCTAAATTATTAATAAATATATATATATATATATATTTTTTTTTTTCTAAATTTTAGAGCAAATTTGCCCAAGATGGTCTAAGGGATAATAAATCGATTCATAATATAGCTGTGATAAAAATGTTAATCTACTAAAATAACCTACTAAAATAACCTACTAAAATAACTTACTAAAATAACTTACTAAAATAACTTACTAAAATAATTGAATAATATAAAACGATATTATAAGTTCTGTCAACTAATTCCATAAGTAACGTCCTTTTTTTCATTTTTATTGGAAACAATTTATTTTAAACACTTCAAAATTTTTTCATTAATCAACAGAATTAACAGAATCACCACCCATTTCAGCACGTAAACCATCATATGGATATTGTTTCTTTATCTACGTTTTTAAATGGAAAAAAATAAGAATCACATCACAAAAAATTGTGTAAAAAAACTACAAATTAACAAAAAAACTAACCGCAGGTGGTTCGTAATCGGTTTGTTTAATCGCAAACATGTAAACTCCAACAAGAGCAAAGAAAGCTAAGAGCTGCACCGCAGCATCACCTAAATTAATATCATATCTATCAAACGTCCATATATTTAAGATTTCTTCTTCCTCATGAATCTATATTAATTTAAGATATTTCGGAATGAAATGATTCATTTAGAAAAATAGAAATGCATAAAGATTTTCGAATAAATTCAAATAATCATTCTAAAGGCATCTCCAAAAATTCGCACATTGTTTTAGATAAAAAAAAAAACATTAAATTTCTCTTCGATCGAGTAAACTAACCGGTTCACCAAAATTTCTCCTATTTTGTAGATCATCCCACCCAAGAGGTGGTCTGTCTTGTTTAAATTCAATGGGCAAATTTGGGTAATCGCCAATTTGAGGATCTGGATTAAGCTTTGGCGGTGGTTTTACATGTTGGTATCGAACTAAGCGCTCCCTAGAAGTTATTGGAAAACCCTGGGATAAGACGGGTAAGCTTCGAAAAAGGTTTGTTCTAGTAGCTGTACGAGTGAGTTGTGTTAAACGCGGAAGCATGTCGTTTATTGTAAATGAAAATCTGAAAAATAATTTAAAAGAAATAAAAATCCCGATTGGCAGATACATCCGTATCGTGGCTAATCTGGTGTCACTACCGATTTTGAGGGTAGACGAACTAGGATTAGGATCTTGGGTCGTGGACAAATTCAAGATAACACTAGTATTAAGAGTATTTTATTAATTAGGAAGATGAGAATTCTTTTTTCATTAGAAATGAATCCAACATCTGTTCCTAACTTCGAGGAGACTAGCATTTATATACATGCGCAGGCGTGTTAAAGGCTTATCGTATGGATACGACTGATTAAATACAATAACAAATAATAATGACATTTGATTAATAATAATATATTAAGAATAATAATAACAATTTACGTTGACGTTGTTTATTTCTTTGAATATCGTAACATTTTCCAAAATGGAACATACACATCTTACAAAACTCCGTTCATCTTGTCGAATTACGAAACTAATAAAAGCAAAAAACGGGAATGTGAGGATCGAATTTTAAATGATATTTGCAAGCAAAAGGAAAATTTCATAAAATCCGAAGAGCTTGAATGCGTGAAAAACTTCATGGATGTTGAAGGAGAAAGCGATACGTATGTATATGGTATACTAAAAATGGATTACTTGTACAAATTCAACCAGCCACGTATTGTCATATTCTTACCGAAAAATTATTGCATGAACGAATATTACCATCGTTGCGTAAAGAATTCAAAATTTAATGGGCTGAATTAATCACTCATAGCATTAAAAATGTGCAGAAGTATAACCGATCATTAAAATTGGCCAAATTTAAGTTTTGAGGACCAAATTTATTATTAATTTTTTAAGATTAAACCCAAAAAATTTTTTTTGACCCTCCGATGTATAATAAACGATACGTCTAACCCATTTTCCCACTATTGCGACCCATTCTAAATTCTGTACAATTCAGATAACCCATTTTTTGTATAATCTATTTTCTGTACAGTCCAGATAATTCAAATATCTCATTTTAATTTATTATTACACACATATATATACATATACTTTAGGTTACATATTTTAAATTTATCATTATATATATACAAGCATATATAATTTGTGATGACCAGTAGTAATATTGGAAGTATTTTATCTATCCTCTTAGCTAACTATACTAGCTATTATTTTGCTTCTTACTTATCTATAGGTTTTTTCTTTAATGATTTTGACCCTTATATTAAAGATCCTGATTATTCTTCTCAAGCATATCCTATTACTAACACAACCAAAGCCTTAGGAGATTTTAGTTCCTTTATAGCTTCAATATTCCAAAGTGAAATTAATGATTCTTATCTTAAAATTTTACCTAACTTATATTCTATTGAATCTTTATAACCCAAAGAAATAGAAGATATTTTTATTATATCTATCTTTGTTCTCCTTAACTATAATAAAAGCACTTTTCAAATTCAATTTCTCTTTAAATTACTACTTTTAATTTACTCTTTACTGATATCAATTTATAATTCACTCTTACTTCTCTTCATCCTATAACTAATCTTCTTTAAACTTAACCTATTAACTGTCTTGTTCAATTTATTAATTATATAATATCTGTTAATATATCTATTATTAACTTTTATCTTGTATCTGAAGTTTACACACAAGTTTTTTTTCTTTTTTGCTTTACTTTGGTGAATCACACCAGTATCTTTATTTAATCAAGTCATGCCTTCATAAAGAGTTTTTACATTAAAGCTACAGGTCTAACACCCTGCAGTTACCTTACATAATCTAACCGATTATCTACACATATCTACAGGTAATCACACCACACTAGAAGCATATGATCAATTAAGATAATATCTCCTAGGGCTCGTCTAACCACTGCTTTACAATAGGATATCACCAATCTGATGATATCTTCTCATAAGAAAGTAAAAAAAAAAGAAAAATTTTTATAAAGCAAAACAGAGGTATAGAGGAATACATAAAAAAAAAACAAATAAAAGAAAAGAAAGGTGCAAAAATAAAATGAAAAAAACTAAACTAAATATGGGATTTTTCACTCACACTGGATGGTTACAATTATAAGCCTGTGTCAGACTCTTTAAAAATTACATATTACTATCTAAACTATTTTCTATATTAATTTATATACATAGTATATTTAAACTTAAAACCTAAAAAAAAAACAAAAAAAAAAAGAGAAAGCTTCTTTGATATCAACATCGTAAAGAAGTCAGAAAATCGTACTGTTAAGCTTATAGTATTGGTTTTCTGGGTCGCTACATTTAAGACATGTAATTCACATGTCTACATTCTATATATATCTATATATTTGTTGTGACAAGTAAAAAGTAAACAATACTGTCTAATTTAGAAAGTAAACAAAGCATCAATCTTTTGGAGAAGGTAAGCTGAATCATCTACTTTTTACAAAATTTTTTCTGAAAGAAAAATGAAGAGCCAACAAAAATGTGTGAGGTTTTTCTGTAAGTTTTATAGTCATATAGTTGGTTCTACAAGATTATACTATCTTAGCAAGGGCTGTTCCACTACTTGCTTCTAGAATAAACCTTCTAGTTTGGATGCCGAATATTCTGAGAAGTTTACTAGCAAGGAGAAAAGCTTAATCTCAAGAAAAACCACTTAAGTTATGACTGCTTCTCAGTATTTTATGTCTTTTAAGTTTTGTCAACAGCAACCTGTTCAAAAGTAAGTTTAGTTTCCAAAATACTTTTCTGGTTTGAATGCCAAATATCTTGAGAAGTTTATTGAAAACAAAAGCTTGACCTCAAGAAAAACTATCTAAGTTACGCCTGTTTCTTGGTATTTCACGTCTTTAGACTTTGTTGACAACTACTTATTTAAAGACAAAACTAAAATAGTTTATATCTTGAAACTTCTTATATTGTTTTACTATAGTTCAGTTTTCTGTTGCGTTGTTCAGAAGATCGTTCTGCAGGTTATATGTCTATACACAAGTTAATTTAGATTTTAATATTATTTTTTTGGATATTTTTTTTAATTCCAACAACAACCTTCTACCACATTACTATTAGTATTATTTTTAAAAGCTATAACTTGTTTAGTTTTCTATTTGTATACTTCTTATATAACATGATTCA